AGTCACTCAAATACTCTGGACAATCCCCATAGGTTCAGGAATGAATTTATTCAGATCCCGGGTAGAAGTCGCTGCATTTTGTCCAAACGGCGCATGCACAACCCTACCTAAGACCACTCACCTGTCTCCCAACAGACATGTGTTTAATCATATTTCACGGGGAAACTCATCTCTTATCACCGTCTCCTTCTGAGGCGACTGATACTGACTACAGTGACCCACAACCCCACGCCACTGAACATTCATTGATCACGTCGTGTCTAGTAATCTCACTCCCAAATGTTTTGAATTTTCTAGGACACAGACACTATTTAGAGTCAGTTACAGGTCTTCATGACCCGCGAGAACTTCCATAGGGATCATCTACTATAGATGAAGACCAATGATTGGAAGGAAGTCATGTTGTTGCAACACAGAATTCACCAACATGTTCAGGCCATCGCTTCAGAGTTCATCTCTATAGTGATGATAACGGGCGTCATCACGACCCCAGGGGGCTACGTTATCTTTGCTGATCGTTATGATCATGCCATAACAACCAGAGTGACATCTACTTTAGATGCCTCACAATGACTGGTTGGAAGTCCTGTTAGAGCTTTAATGCTTCTATCATTTTTATACAGGCCACACATCAGTGTTTACATTGATGTTGTGATAACGGAACACCATGGTGTCTCCGGTGTTTACCTTTTTTGTTTTTTCTATTTTATTTCACAGAATAAAAGAATAAAGGCATGACGCCCCGATTCATCGGATCGTCATGAGGGAGAGAGTGGTCTGCATGCTGTTTACTCTAAAAAATCATTCTTGGACACTTCTCCTCCAACACAAAAAACGACGACAAGTCAGCTTCACATCAAATGGTCAGCTACACTCACAGGTCAATCATCATTTTCCGCTGTGCAACCGACTGGTTCTCCTCAAAAGCATTCACCTCAAATAGTCAAAAAGACTACATTGTGGAGGAGACAGAGGTCAGGTAATCAGAATCCCATGTGCGTCTGCAATTCTTCAAGGACATTCATTCTAGAGGCGCGCTACCGGATTTAATCCAAGCTAATCAAGACCAACCTTTGGAAGGCAAGGACTACATGCAAGACACTGAAGATTCCTCAACTCAGGCATCAAAGATCAAATTGCCAAGAAGACATCAAAGGGGAGATTGCTAGGATTTCTTCAGAAAGCCCTCTAAAGAAGTCGAGTTCAACACGAAGACAAAGGAAGCTGAGTTCCACTAAAGATCAAGACAAAAGAGGAGCAACTCAACAGATTTTATCTATGCTCTCCTCTACATTGCTGAATAAACACAAAGACAAAGATATATGCGCTGCAATGCTAATTGAACACGATTGAACACCAAGGGGGAGATTGTTGGGAATATTTTATGGTGTCCAATCAAATTAAATATCTTTGTATTTGTGTAGTTATTAGCTAAATGTGTAATATGGGCCACAAATGTATTTTATCCCATTAGCCCACTTGTAAGCCTTAAGTTAGACATCCTTATGTATAAAAGGATGCTAACTTAAGCAACCCCTGACTCAAGCATAAGCCTCAACGCAGATATCATTTTTAGTGAGAAGGGAGAAAAACGCCGTTCATACCCTATTCTGTATTTCGACATCTTTATTGGTATTGAATCGAATCATCGTTTCTTATGTACTCGTTATATTGTTTGTATGATTGTTGATTGATATTGGGACTAACAGTAGTACTATTAATCCATTTAAATTAAATCTCAGATGTTACAATCACCCTCACTTAGGAACACAATGTCCTCGTTGCGCCCATAAACCAATCTCAAATCTCAATCAAATCCCAGAATCCTCTCCCGCTAAGTGTCTGCCCGATATCCAATGGGTCAGCACACTGTCGCAGGGTTGCTTTGATACCACCTGTAACACCCGGCCCCCAAGACCCGAGGTAGTTACTCCAGACCTCTAGTACTGTCCTCACAAACCACCACTAGCCTTTTCCGCACACTTTGTCCTCACTTGTGCGCGCCCTGAGAAACTTCCCAGGGGGGTCACCCATCCCAGGACTACTCCCGTGCAAGCACGCTTAACTTTGAAGTTCTTGGTGATTAGCTCCCTTAAAAGGAAATGCATCTTGTTGGTATGAGTAGTACTATTAATCCATTTAAATTAAATCTCAAGTGTTACACCTGAAACACCAATGCCTCCAGCTGGGCGTCCCGCACCGTGGGCTGGGGAGGCAGTGGTGGCGTTGCCGTGGCTGTTACGGTGGCTGCTGCGGCTCGTAGCTCGTTCACCTGCTGTGTAAGGAGGCGGATCTGGTGCTCCCTAGGATCTGCCTGGCGTTGCCGCTATGGTAGAGACTCCACCTGCTGCCTTGGCGGTGAGAGCCTTGGCTGGCGCAGCGGTTGTCGTTGCTGGCGCAGCGGAGAGATCCGCTATTTCCTTGGGGGAGAAGGCAATTGCCGGTGGCGTGGGGGGGGGGGGGCAGATCTGGGGGGAATGATTGCCCCTTAGCCTCTCCAAAGCAGACACGCGCTCTGGAGTTCTGCTCCCCTGCTGTTGCTGTTGTTGATTCCTCGTGGGGATGTCCACAACTGGGGAGCTCGCCCGGTTGATCCCCCGAAGGTTGACAGATAGATGCAGATTCGCCATATATCTGTCCCCCAATCTGGAGAAGATAGGACGCCTTTCCACTTCCACCCAGGGGTTGGGGTTGTCGTCATGTTGCTGCCCCTGTGGGGAAAAGGACTGCGAGGAGTCCTCAATAGCGACGACGTAAACGCCTTCATCATTGTGGCAGGCGTAGTCGACGCGGCATGCCTTGTACCTTGAAGGTACCATGGGGGTGGCCGTGGAGCCATGAATTGTTGTGCAGAAAAAAGGCGGGAAGTTCCCGCCTGCTGTGCTAGAGGCACAACACTTTACAAGTGCTCCCAAAGCCACATGGCAAATCGGGGTGAGCCTCTGGGGGGGACTGGTAAACCATTCATGTTGGCCTCTCCTCCAACAAAGGGGCATCAATGGTACCCACTCTCAGCGACCGGGATCTAGAGTTCGCCGGTGAGATGGGCCTGTTAGCTCTAGAAGCCATGGTTGTCGTCGCCTGTGATCGCAGTGTGGGGAGCACCTACTGCAGCCAAGTGATGAGGGCGCCAACCGCTGCAGAGGGATCCGCCATCAGAAGGTCCTGAAATTGGGGGATCACCTGAGCGGACGACATTGTCGCTGCATCGCGATTCAGCGTGATTTGTTGGCGGAGATTTGGGGGGTACGATGGATCTAGCTACGTAGATCCGTAGAAGCCTGTGCGGGTTGTTTTCCCCTAGCGGCCCTCCTAGCACCGAAAGTAGCAGTAGCTTCCAGTGAGGGTTCAACTTGGGTGACGACGGCAGAGGCACGGTTGTTTCTCATGACTCTCTTTCCAGCCATTGTTAAGAAGAAAGCTTGCTGTAGATCTGGGAAAAGTGGGAGGATCTGACCTGATTCACAGTTCAGCTCTCAACGAGAGCACAAAAAATGATGGATTACCGAACTGGGGGTAGCCGGAATCCAAGTAGAATAAAGGGAAGAGCTGATCGGAAAGTTCAGGTAGATATTTATGCAGAGGTTCAACTAGAGAGTACACATTGCGATCCCTTTCAACAAGCCGGAAGGTGATACTTATACTGAAAAAGCAATACTTGGTGCCTAAGTAAAAAGATGGTGAACTAATAGGGAGAGGACGCATGTCCTATTTAGGCTAACAAACTAACAATCTAATTCGATGGGGAGCAGCCACGTGTAAAGGTGATTGGAGAGATAGTCTAGAACATCTGGCTGATTGGAACTGCTCCAACAAACTGCTACCCGAATGCCTCTGTGGCTACATGTGTGTGATCTAGAACAGTCTTTCGCCCACCGCCAAGAGTGACATGGCGGTATTCCTCTGGGTCATTTGCCTTCATATATTTTGTCTAAGTCCACAATGCCTTGATGAGGCCCTGAGCCTACTGAGGTCAGTGTCTGGCGTTCGGGCTCATCTCTGGGGAATGCATAGTCTGTCTCTGGTTTTGTCTCTGGGTCCATTGACTCCTTAGCTTGATTCCGGCTGACTCTTCGTCGATATGTGAGGTCGGAGTCGGTGTCGAGCTCGGTGCCTTCGAGGTCGAACTCATAACTCGCTGAGTTCGAGCTGTTCCTGAGCTTGGTATTTTCCCGACCTCAGAGGTCGAGGTCGGGGTCGACTGACTTTCTGTCCTTAGCTGTTCTGTTACCTGGCGCCTTGTCCCGACCTTGGTGGGTCGGGGTCGGTCCCCTGTTATGGACTTAGTAGTTTCATGCACTCCGGGATAGACCCGTGATGTTTATGCCGACGATCCTGATACATCTAGTTTTATTTTCCTAATACTATCATCATATATTTAAAAAAATAGGGAAAATGGAAACTAATAATCCATCCTTTTAGCGGTCTTCTTACAATAGTCCCTCCTTTTGATTATTCATGAATAATCCAACCTTTGCACCACATCTTCGTTCACTGGTCCCTGACCGATTTATGACATGTTATTCTAAGTTTTTTTCTTATCTTTGTAAAACATTATACCATAATTCCCACCTTATGATCACATAATGTTTTGCAAGGATAAGAAAATAACTTGGAATAACAGGTCATAAATTGGTCAGGGACCATCAAATGAAGATGGGGTTCAATGGTTAGATTATTCATGAATAATCAAAAGGTGAGACTATTGTAAGAAAACCGCTAAAAGGTTGGATTATTAGTTTCCATTTCCCCAAAAAAATACTACAACCTCCGTTCCCATTTTAACTTCCAAATGGGTCTGGCAGAAAATTTAAGATAGTGGATATTGTGTGGTGGAGAGTTGTGCAGAGGAGAGAGAAATGTGTAAGAAATGTTGTGAACCACAAATTCTTTACCAAAAAGGGAAAATAGAAGTTTTAATTGGACCGGAAGAAAAAGGAAAATTGGAAGTTTATTTAGGAACTGATGGTATATATAAGAAGTACTCGTATATATTAAAAAAAAGGTAAAGTCGGTCGTTTCAGGATCGCCCAGCTAACAATGGCTCAACAATCGCAGCTCACCGAGACGCCGATAAACCCTAACCCTCCGCTACCAGGAGCTCTACAACCACCGCATCCGACGGAGGACGGCACGTACCGGTCTACAACCTCTAAGCGTCCTCGTGCGGAGGGTGCGGTCGAAGCGACTGACGAGGCGGGTACATCTTCTGCGGTCGGGCCGCCCCTAAAAAAGCGCATGAAGGTCTCACAAGATATTGTGTATCGCATCATCGTCCCGTCAAAGCATATAGGTAAGGTAATCGGTAAAGTGGGGCATCGAATCCAGAAGATCCGAGAAGAGACCAAGGCTACAATCAAGATTGCCGACTCTTTTTCTGTAAGCATGAATAATACTCCATATGTTTTAAACTATGTATTAGATTAGTAGTTACTGTTTTTTATTGATATAACAGTGATTGGAAGTGTTGGTAACGTCGTTAGGGTAGTAGCAAGTAATATGCTTTTCGAAGTACAGAGTAGTAAATTGTTTATTGAGCTTAGTTGGGGAAACTAGCTGCGGAATTTAAAAGAGTTAGCTAATCCGTATCTGTTGCTTCTTTATGGTTCTGCTTAGAATGATGTTGATTGCGCAAGTACAACAACAACATCCCAGCCTTAATCCCAAAAGAATTTGGGGATGTTGATTGTGCAAGTATTTGAGGAAAATGCTTTTGTACAATAATTTTTGTACAATCAAGTTTTTTCTCTCACAAGACATTATGAGAGTGCTTTCACTTGATTCTACTTATAAAAAGTGCTTCATTTTAGTGATTTTCGAAAAAGCACTTAATAGTAAAAATTGATTTTTAAGGATATTTTCACTTGGGCTAAAATTTTCTGGTTTGATCCGGTCTGGTCTGGTAAATATCTAGTCTCTCTGTATTTTACAACTAGTCTAGTCTGGTCTAATTTGAAGTGGTTGAACTAGTTTGATCTGGTCTAGTCTATGGCTGAAATAAGTCCAACTAAAAACATCCTAAATAGATGTGCTTTAGTTAAAAAGGATGAAGTTATAGTTTTGGTAAGAAAGTGTTTTGTAATGGAATATTTGGTCAAATTACAAAAATATCCTCCAATGAATTAGATGCATATGCTGGTACGAAAATGTTTCACCAGTTGGCAATTAAAGGATGCTACATACGGAAGAGAAAAATTGGAGACAGGAGATAAATTGGATGAAGCAATTGGAAATCTGCTTGAATCTATTTGTTAAAGCCCTAAAGTAAAATGGTGATGCTAATTATGATTAACCGAGAATTCAAAAGGGGGCTCTATGGAGAACAACAGCAAAGGGACTTGGGCAGAACAGAGATGCAGATTGGCGGTGGATGCTTTTAAAACCCTTCGAACATGCTTGTGGGTACGATGAAACGGTGATTCACGTGTAAATGGAAGGGTGGTTCTCGTACGATGCTTTGTAGAAAGGGCACTTTTGGATTATTCAAAATATGTAGGGATAAAATTATCCCAAAAGTTGGACTTAATTACGGAAATGGAGAGAAGCTGATAAAATCATGTACTAGTATATTCCAACTTGCAACTTTTAGCTTAAATGTGCTTAAATTAAGCAGAAGTGTTCATCTGCAAACACATATTTTAGCCTTTTAAGCCAAAAATCATATCAGTGCTTTTGAGAAGCAATGACAAACACTACTTATGTCGACTATGTTCGTGAGAGCAAAAATCTTGTCTATGCTAGCTGTTGGGGAAGTTGTACAAATACGAGAGATGCCTCTTAAATTCTCTGATTTATTCCGTTATTGTTTTGTCTCAATTAGCATTAGTTTGTAATCCGTTACTTATGGAAGATTGTCCAAGTATCCTAACAACATTACAATTGTAATCCATATGTAAAAAAGTAATAGTCAGACATGTTGGAATTGAATAGAATAGCATCATTTTAAGTTTTCTTCCTTCCAGCTCATCTCCCCTTTTCATAGCTTAACACATAAACATATCAACTTGGTTCCAATGTGGGTGTTATGGGTGCTCTTGCCACAGACAGCCCCGCTTTCAAAGACACAAAAACCTATCTGCACATCCTCAAAGCTCAGGCTGTAAAGATCAAGGACCTCTTTGCCACTGTAGCTTCTCTCGGCCAAATTACACAAACAGGCTGAGACAATTGCTAATGCAAATACTTAAACCGCTCTTCTTTGATCAAGAAAAACCACGAGCCTCCAAGTCCGTTTCAGATACCATGACCAACTCCAAGGAACTCTGCCACAGTCAGGATATCTGAAAACGTACTCATCAAAATTGCTAAGATGTGCTTCCCACTATTTGTGGTAAATCGACGGGGTAAACCGTTGCCCAGAATAATCGCTGCGAAGAGCCAAAAGGCTGAAATCCAATTTTATTCCAAGATGAGCAAGAATGAATCCTAACAAGGGGTTTAAATACCCAATCACTAATTCCCAAACAAGCAAACAAAATCATAGAAATCCTAATCAACTCCAAATAGCCAAATAGGAAACAAATAATAGAAGTACTAATCAACTCCAAATAGGAAACAAATCATGAAAATTATAAAGAAATGAAATTAATTAAACAGCCCACAAAGGTGGGCCCAAGCCCATTCCTGCCCTTTGATCTCCCTATTCTCTATCAATCCATCCTTCTTCGAAACAACCTTGTCCAGTTGTCCTCAAGGTTGAAATTCGGAAACCGACTCACATTTGTCCCCTGGGGCTGCCTAGTATCTTTAGGAAAGCTGCCACTCAATCCTTTCAGCCCGTTCATGAAATATCCCAAATAATGATCGTCAAATCGCCTTGGGACCTGACTTGTTAGTTGAACAAAAATTGAGATGTGCTCCTCCACATTCCTTTTCTGCTTGACTCTTGGACAGCCGTTCAAAGCGATTGCCCTTAAACCATGATCATAACGAGCCATCAACGCCTTTGTAAGCACATCCCATAACATGCCCGGCTTTCATGCGCGTAACCAGGTCAACCGGACCCGGTATAGGGCTGACCTTTCCATTGCAACTACAGTGGCTGCCACCTTCTTTCCCGGCGGAGTAAAGTTCAGTTCGAACTGATGCTCAGCCCTAGCAACCCAGCCGATTGGGTCTTCTCCGTCAAACGAGGGCAGCATCGTGAGAGAGGTGCTGCACAATCCAGTTCCGAACGCGGATGCTGTTGCCGCATCGAGTGAAGCCACCGCCGATGAATTCTCCTCCGCCGCTGGCGACGCGAGAGTCTTTGTGACATTGTTATCAGATTCAGGTCTAGATGATGATGTGGAGTTTAAAAATTGATGATGATTATATCATAATCATCAAACAAATAAAGGTTGACATATTTTGGAAGACATGAAACTTTTTCTGGATATTAAGTTATTTTTTGGAACTACTTTTAACTATTTTAACTTCACATGTTTTGGTTAGAATGTGGGTATCCAACTTTTTAGCTCATTTTTGGTGGTTGAATTGTAGATTTATAGTGTCTGTAGTTCATATTTATAGTATTTCTTTTTTTTGTGTCATGTGATGACCACTATGATTTATACAAGTGTCTGCATCCTAGGGTGTTCGTACGGTAAATTAATGTCGGTACTCCTATCTATAGATGTTCTGTTCCATCATATTTGAATGCTGGCATTTTCTTCTTTTAATTAGATTTTGCATTTCACCTTTATGTAATAGATTATTAGTAGGACGTTTTTTATGAAAGTGCTTTCTTCTAAAACCAGACCAGAGGCTTTCATCTTCATTACTCTTAGTTATGAATGGTGGCCATGGCAGCCACCATGGCACTTTTCACTTTTGATAACCATGGTGGGCTGGTGGCTGCCTTTTCAAGTAGGGAATGGTTTAGGTAGTCAACAGTGAGGGATGGATGTTGCTGGAATGGTTGTGGCTTTAGGTTCCACCGTGGTCCGTGGTAACCGACTGTAAATTTGGAATATGTTTGTTATTATAAGTTTCTTGGGCTGGCTAGTAAACTTACCTTTGAAGTTTTTGTATTGTAAAAAAATGTAATGATAATCCATTTTTGGCCATTTCATTCCTTGTTACCAATATAGAGTGAGCTGTACCTGGCCTTCTGGATGACTGGTTTTACACTGCTTAATTATCTGTAGTGCGAATACTTTCTTTTTTTCTTTATCTGTTTTTTTTTGTGATTGCAGATATTTTGTTATATCCTTCTAATGTTGCCTTTGCTTTCTATTTGTGAAGAGAAATGAAGAAAGAGTTATCATTATCAGTTCAAAAGACAATGACAGCACATTTTGTGATGCAGAAAATGCTCTTCATCAAATTGTGACATTAACTCTAAAGGTAACATGGTCTACGGACCAAAGAATGATCATTTGTCACGGTTTTTTCTAGCTTGAAGTCTCAAAGCCCTATTTTCCGGTGGTCTTATGACTTATATCCTTTTAATGAAATACTACCTCCGTCCCACCAAGATTGGGACCAGAGAAGGTGGCACGATTATTAAGAAAAGTGGGCTTGTGTGGTTGATATTAAATTGATAAAGTAAGAATAGAGTAAGAATGATTTAGAACCACACAAACTTTGCCCAATTTGGTATGGGACAATCTTAGTGGGATTTCCCGAAAAGGTAAAATGGGACAATCTTAGCGGGATTGAGGGAGTACATTTTATTTATATGTATGCGTTATATGCTTGTATGTTACACTTCTTTCTTTTAAGGATTGCCTTATATGCACTTATTCTTTGGTTTCAACATTGGTGCCTTGCCTCGTAGTAAAAAATGCCTTAGATAATCTAGTTATTTGCATAATGTTCCTTCAGGATGATGATGGAAACATTGAAGCACTTAAAGGTGGTGCTGGACCTGTGCCAGCAAATGCAGTAAGGTTTTTGATTACTGGTTCTCAAGCTGGTGGTTTGATTGGTGTGTCTGGTCAAAATATTGAGAATTTGAGGATTTCTTCTGGTGCTTTGGTTACTGTTCTCGCTCAAAATCAGTTGCCACTTTGCGCGTCTGCCCAAGAGTCTGATCGTGTGGTGCAAGTAAGAAAAAGTTGTCTAACTAATAACTATTGAGCTAAATCAAAGAGAACTTCTGCCCTGCATATTGAACCAACTTTTTTCTGTTCATTAATATCTGTATTTGTTAACTTTACAGTATATACATCTCTATTAGTTAACTATACAGTATATATTAGGTTATTGCCTGCACGTTATGTGCTAAAAAAATTCGGAATGGAAATGTCACTTTTGTCATGCCGAGCCTTCGGTTTTAAAGCATAGGATCTCCATCTTCCTGTAAACGTCTTAGTTACCGTAGAAATGTAGTCATGGAATGCATGAAGTTATTTCATAGTTTGACATTCAAATCTTTTATGGTTTAGAATTTCTGGGTTCTCCTTATTTCCGGTGAAATGATTTCATACAGCACTATGATCAGCTTGTAGATTGAATTTGTTCACCCCAAAAGAACAATGTTGGCAATCCATCACAGGATTAAGCATGAGCGTGTAATTGTATATGTTATGTGTTCGTTGGCAGCATCAGTGTTTGCCAGATTTAGTTTCATCAGGGTTCTGACTCATGAAAGTATTCTTGATAACGGTACTGGGTTTGAAGCGAAACCCTTATTAGGTTTTCAGTTTAATGAGTTCTATTTAAGATGAGACAACTGTGTGTGGTTGTGGAAAGGAGGGAGCTAATAGAAAAAAGAGTTGCAGTTAGCTACTAGCGTCTTCACATGCATGTTCTGCAAAATTGCAGGCTGTTATTCCTGTTAAGGACAAATATTCGTTAGCTGATAAGTTGTCGTAACATGCATGAACAGATCCATTGTTATTCACTCTCACAGTCTCACTTAAAGATGTCTAATTGCAGGTTTCTGGCGATATTCCTGCTGTCCTCAGAGCAGTAGTGGAGATCGGTTGTCAATTGAGGTTTTTTTGAGTTGTTAGTTCTTTTAAGTTCCCGTTTGGATCCCTGGTAAATACAAAGGAAGTAAAACAGAGAGGAGAGAAAATGTGCAACGAATAAAAGTTAGTCTTTACTACCAATGGATTTATTTTAGATATTTTTTATACACACATTGTTTTTTATCACTATTAATCTATTGTAGTATTATATTATTACTAAAAAAATCCAAGCATATGCAACTTTTTTAAAAGTTAATCATGTTTCCAAATAAAAGGGAACAACATTGTTGAACTATTCTTTTCCTTTTCGTAGTATTTTCTGGGGTCCAAACATACTGTAAATGTTAGGCTTCTTGATTCTGCATTAATGTTGTATTGTGCAGGGATAACCCACCCAAACAAGGAATCGCTATCACCCCAACCTATAATCTTGGCTTCAATCGTCCTCTCCATCAGTATGTTGACCCAGCTTCAGGTTATTAATTCCTTCTCTCATTTTCTCCTCTTCTCCTCTTGAACTTTCAAACTGCTGCCTCGTGCTGCTGTATGAAATCTTGATATATCTCTCATAACGACATCATCTTTAGGACAACCACTCTTGCAGCTGAATTTCTGAATGCAACAATGTTGATTCCGGAGACACTGGCGGGTGGCCTGATCGGAAGGTGTGGCGCCAACATTTCTAGGATCCGTACTGAATCTGGAGCAACAATCAAGGTGTGGCGCTATATTAGGTCTTAGATATTACTACACATATCTGTTTCTCTTAAGTTTTATTTGATGGATGGTTTGGTAGGGTTGAGTATATCTTGACGTATATTTGAGAGTTTATAAAATTGAAGAAATAGTACAGTAGGTGATCATATAACATTTAATGACATTTTATTCGTTTTGAGAAACATTCTATATATCAAGATATAGACTAAGCCCTACAAAGCCTTCCCTTCCGAAGATATCCAAACCTCCCTTGACCTTGATGTCATACACTGCTTCTCGCGGTACAATGCCAGATGTATAATTTGTTTTAGCTATTTGTCTATCTTGCATCAAGTTCTGTGACTTGTGCATGACAATTCATAGACCAATTCGTTCTTTTGCTGATCTACTACCTTCCCTAATGCAACAGGTTCATGGTGGGAAAGGAGAACAAAATCATAGACAAATCCATCTTGGTGGTAGTGCACAACAGGTCAAAATACTAGATACAATCTTATTCTTTTGATCGCTTTCTTTGTTGAAATTGAGAGCATGATAGCTTGTTTGTTTTTGTTACAGGCAAGGAACCCTTTCAGAACTTCAGTTTAGCCCTTCTTTGGCTTAGCCTTTGCTTTTAAAATGCTGGATTTTTGTCTTTTTGTACCGTTAAAAGTGTTTGTTATTCAGGGCTCGTTTGTATGTCGTTGTAGTTTGTACTACATTGTTCTTTCGACTGGAGACTGGAGTTGCTAAAAGATATATGTCTCACAACCATTTTCGAAAAATTTCCCCTATTAAATGCTTTTTCCAAAGCACTGTTTTACCCTGACCGCCTTTTCTTCTTTTGAAGCAGTTTTAAGAATGAGATGCAGTCGCCATTTGTTACATGTAGAAAAGTGCATTTGACTCACTAGTTGGCCAGTCTTGTACTTTTTTGAATTGTTAATTTCAAAAATAACTTGGGGCCTAGCGCTTCTGTTTTTCACTATTAAATAAAATAGATCAAACCGTAATTGTCCATAAACATATTTCTTCATATACGCAGGTTGCGCTGGCAAAGCAAAGGATTGATGAATATGTATATTCCCAGTTAATGCTGCAAAGTGGAGTTCAACCACTTCAAGAAACAGTGCAGCTACAACAGTCATTACAGTTGCAGCAGACTATGCACCTACAACAACAGCCAATGTAACTGTCTACTATATGCATCTTCTTTGTAGATTGCGATATGGACATTCAATCGTACTGGTGTATACAAATGGACATACCGTAGTTCGGCATTAGTTTTTTTTTTTATCAGTTTTGCTACTTGTACCCACCCCTTATACCCACCCTTTTGCCCACAGACAAAAAATAGCCTCTCTCAGGGGTGGGTATAAGAGTGGGTATAAGGGAGTGGGTACAAACAGAATTTTTCTTTTTTTGACTCTAACTAATCAAGTGTAGTATGTGTTGCAGACCCAATCCATCTGGTGCTCTGTTGCACGGATATAATCAGGGGAATGGACTATTTGTGAACAGGTCTGTTACCTTTGTGATGTTCGTTTTGTATTCTGAATACATTATGTGTTGTCAAACTTAGTTTCTTGTCAAATGCACTTGAACTTGTTGCTGCTTTGAGCTATGTACGAGTTAGGTGAAAGATGGGGGATGGGTAAATTATCATCATTATCTTTTAATTAAGAGTTTTTTTATGTGGTTTATAGTATAATATTAAATAAAAGATTAGAACATCAAAGTATTACTAATTTATCATGGTATACTTGAAATAGAAAAATTATCACGCTTAAGCACTATTTTTTTAAAATGAAAAGCAACCCCTCCCATATTACCATTTGTACGAAGAGGAAAGCATCGAAGTGATTAGTCTATGCTCCATATTTTGTTAGGTAAAGTGGTTTTGTAACAACAGAAGGATACATCACATGTTATATGCTAAAGTTCCATATTTTCTTAAATCTCAAATACATTGAAAACATGTTTTAAACTTTTAAGCACATTTTCAAAGGCACCAAGTGTACCCTTCTTAGAGAGTGTTTGCAATAAATTAAAAAAGTGCTTTTAAGCCTTTTCCTTAAAAACAGATGAAGTTATAGTTTTCAAGTGACTGCTTAAATTAAGAATTTAAGCTTTTGCAATTACATAAAAAGCTTCTTTTTACCAAACCATACCAACATTTACTTTTTCAAAATAACTTTTTCACAACTTTTATTATCCAGTACTTTTTTATAAGTTACTTTAAAAAAATTAAGGAGTACTTTTTTAAAATATAAACAATTGCAAAAATGAAAGAACCATGAAGTGATGCTTCTGTTGTTTGGCTAGCTTACATGTTTCCAGTTTTGGTACTATTTAGAAGACCATTTATTGTAAAAATACTCTGTACATTTTAATATACAAGGCAGACTATACCAGGAACCATTCTATATGTTGCACATTTGAAGTTAGAAACAAACAAAGCAGCGCATAAAACAACAAAGAGATCCCATACTTGCGGTAGTATTACTTTTTTTTTGCATTAGTATTACTTGTATATAATAACTTGCGGTCTATTGCTTGGGGGAACTCGTTATTTGCAGTAACCAAGCAGGTGCAGTGATGGCCTCATACCCTCAAGGCTACACGTCAACCGCAGCCAATCAAGCTCCTTCCTACTATGGCCAGTCATATTATCCAGCCCCTCCCATCTAAATGACTGAATGGATATATAATGATGAATTATGTGGTGATCGAACTTTTCTTGCAGCGTACTTTTTGTATTGTAGTTAATTGTGATTTTTTATTGGTAAAATATCTAACCGTGATATCCCTTGAAGCCCCTCTGCTTGTTTAATTGCTGAGAAATTACTCCTTTTCTAGATTTTCAAGTGCTTAAAAACAATCAAGTGATTGATGTGCTATTAGTATTCACTATTCAGTAATCCAGTTGGGTATCTTACTTCCTCCGTTCTTTTTAGTTGCAATATTCCCCTTTTCACGTTTTACAATGCACAACCTTGTTCGTCATTATACGGAGTATGTAATTCTTAATTCATCCGTTCTTTTTTAGTTGCAACTTGCAATACTTCCTTTTTCACGCTTGCGAATGCACAAAATGACTGTCATTATATGTAATTCTCAATTGGTAATTTTTTTAAATGGAAAACTAGGGATGGACTCGGGTCCGAGCCGGGTCCGGGTCGGGCCTAGCCTGGGTGGGCCGGCGGTTTAGAAATGGTGGACCCGGGACTGGCCCGGGTAACCACCGGGTTCGGTCTGTGGTGCGGGCCAGGCTGGGCCCATTATCATTTTTTTTGTTTTCCTCTTCCTAATTAACCCCCCTCCCACCCCAACCCCCCAAACCACCCCAAATGGCCCAAAATACCCAGCCCAACCTGAAAATTTAAAAAAAATTGAAAAAAAAAATAGTTTTTGGCCCGGCCCGGCCGGGCCTTGTTTTGGGTGACCCGAGTCTGGACTGGAAAACCCACGGGCCGGGCCTACTCAGACCGGTCACTGACTGGGCCACCGGGTCGGGCCACCTGGCTCGAGTCCATCCCTATGGAAAACTGTCAAATAGGTCCTCCAACTTTCATAAAAAGGTTAATTAAGTCTTATAGGAGGTTCTGCCTAGCTGTCACGATTTGTGTCAGTTTCCGGTGGATTTTTTTGATGAAATTATTTGAGTATCTTATTCATCAAGTCTAGTTTATTCATACGAAATTTCAGCTAAAAATTTAATCGGGAGCGCATTCAAATTAATTTGAGAACGCAAAAATGCGCAGTTATGTTCAAGAATTAATTTGAATGTGTTCCCGATTGAGGTTTTAGCTGAAATTTGGTATGCGTAAACTAGACTTGGTAAATAAGATGCTCAAAAAATTTCATCAAAAAATTTCACTCGGAATTGCCCCAAATCGCGACGGTCGGGTAGAACTAGGGGTGGACTCGGGTTGGGCCAACTGTCCCGGAACCGGACCGGCCCGCCACTTAATTACTGGGTATTCTCGGTTCGGGCTCGGGCCCTTCAAAAGGTGAACCGGCCCGAACAGTTCGGGCCCAGACTGAGCCATTTTTATTTTTTTTTTATGATTTTTTTGTGTTTTTGGATTGAGCTGGGTATTTTGGGTCATTTGAGGTGGTTAGGGTTGGTTTTGGAGGTGAGGGGGAGGGGTGGGGGTTAAAATATACCCGAGGCCCGGCCCGGCCCGGACCCGGGGTTACCCAGGCCGGTTCCGGGCCTCCCATACCTTGAACCGAGGCCCGGCCGGTTCAAGGCCCGAATCGGGCCCGGCCCGAACCGAGTCCATCCCTAATTAACAAAAGCAACAGCAGTCTCAAAATTCATAACGGTGCTTCAAAAGTGAAAAAAGATGAAAGTTGAGAACAGAGATGATAATTTCAGAATATGCTTGACCATAAGTGGCAAGAAATTCATAAGGTTGAGTACGTTATTTTGTTGATGACTAACCATGTAGGTGGAACTAATGCAGAACCATTTTTAGTTCCGTGATATGATTTGAATTAATATTGATTGCACCTACTTGATTTTCAATTAATATGCTTTTCTTATATGAGTGATTATACTTTGTCAAAAATATGATTTTAAGCAAAAATATCTTTCTTGCCATGATATACATAATTTGCTTGTATGAGTGCTTATTTGAGTGGTTATTCTCTTTCCATACTTGATTAGACATCCACTTATTAGTATGGCTTCTTACTTTATGGAAAGTATCGTTATTTGATTGCATGATTTATATTTGGTGTTTGACCATACCACTTACGTATTGCATGCTTTGCTAAATATCTCCTTGCCATAAAAGTTATCCTTGATTAACTTACTAAGTGAATAGTTTGAGTATGGATGTTTTCTGGCATGGGCTGTCGCATGCTTATTATGATAGGTAAAATATTCCCTTGCTATACGGATTTGAAAAAGTAAATGTTGTTTGAAATATATTCCATATTTTAATATTCCTACCTTTTTGGGAATTGACCGAAGCCTGTCTTATTTGGTAATTAATTGATCACACGTGATTAGCTGTTTGTATTTATTCTCTTAGTCCGGGACTGATATGCTACCTTGAATATATGATTAAGATATTTTAATTCGTCTGCCTTATATATTGAGCTCGGACATGGGAAATATTATAAAAAAAGAAAGCAATTCAAAATATTGAGGCAAATCCCAAGATTAGAAGATCAACTATTCAAGGAAGGATGCTTAAACGGTCTGCCCAAGACAGCCTATATAAACGAAGCAACCAATGAGAAATGATGTGTGCTTGACCGAGCTTTTATTGAGAAATATACACGATAATATTTACTAAGTCCAAGACACCTGAACCTGCTCACGGAGTTCCAGACAGAGTTTCTTTTTCCATTCTTCATATTGTAATTGGGATTTTGAGGATTGGCTAAGTGTAGCATCCTCGGGTTGGTTAGTGTGTTGTGAGAGCTTTGTTGTAAAGCTAAGAGGCTCTCTACCCACAAGGTAGAGAAGCATACCTCTTCCTAGAGAGGATAGAGTTGGGGTGGCTCAAGGGTAGATTAGGAGAGTTTTCCTTGTAATCATTCAAAGGCTTTTTAGTGGAGTTATTCAAAAATCCTCCGAGGGAGGTCGATGTTTTTTAATCCCTTTGAGCCAAGAGATTTTTCCTCGTTAAATCCTTGTGCACTTTACTATTTCGCATTTCCCTGAACCCCACACTAGAACTATGCGAAAATCTGTCACGATTTCACACACACAATCCACCCTCCTCTTGTGTTGCTAACCGTTTCATCAATCTGCTCTAAAAGTGATGCTCTAGAATGGATAAAGTGATAGTGGGTGACCAAAAGTTGATAATTTCGTTATAGCCAGGGACCAAAACTGAAATGAATTAGAGTCTGGGACTGAATGTGGAAATTACCTAAGAGTATGGGTACCAGAATCGAAAAAAAACATCCACAAACTACCTACAGACTACATCTACAGTTATTTCCTGATTTGAACTTTAACGCCAAGTATTGTTATTTTTATATAGCTAATAGTAATAGAATTATTAGAAGCTTAGTATTGTACTTTACATTAAACTCTCTTTAATATAAATATATCTGACAGGGCTCCTTAATGAGTAATCTTTCCATTATTCTCACATGGTATTAAGAGCACTATAATTTTTTTTCGATTCTCTCACTAAACCCTAGCGCCGCCACCGCCTTCTCTCCTTCGGCGTCGCCACCCTAGTGCCGCCGCTGCCTTCTCTCCTTCGGCGCCGCCAGTCAACTTCAACATGTCGACAGCCGCTTCCTCTTCCGCTTCCTTCAGCACGTCGACAACACCGGGCCAGCCAACCGCCGTTGCGCCGATCACCTCAGTCACCACCACCGGCGCACCTCCCTCTTTTGGATCGCTGCCGACAATCTCCTCCGTCTCTTCCGGTGTGACTTTCTCCTCCAACTTTGCATCACCAAGCCGGGTATCTATGCCATACTCTTTGTTTCAGCATGTATCGTCGGTGTTCCCTTGGTCGGCTCCAATTCCCGTGCAGACTGTCCCTCTAGAACCGCCGCCCCTCTCAGCCGGTCCTTCCTTTGCCGGCCCCACGTTCGTTGGCTCACCTGGTGTATCCTCCGTTGTTCCTCCCTCTCGCACACCCGCAGGCAGCCCAACCGGATCATTTCTCGCTGATTTGGCTCAAACAATATCTCATGTGGCCACCAATGTCACAAATATTGTGACTACTAAACTATTGGCGGTAGAAGACTACACCACTTGGAGGACACAATTCGAATCGTTTCTAGTTTCACAAGCTCTAATGGGCATGGTTGATGGCTCCATTCAGGTACCCCCTGCTTTTTCCATAGATGCTCTTAACGTCAAACTCCCAATCCCGACTTTTCTACTTGGTTGAGAATTGATCAAACCATTCGTTCATGGTTATTTGCAACCCTATCTAGGGATGTTCTTATCGATGTGCGTGATTTAAAACATTCATATGAAATTTGGGAGCGGTTAGAGTCTCGGTTTATGTCTGCCAGTTTAGCCAGATCTATGGAATTAAAGCGCTTATTTAATCAAATTAAAAAGAAAACTGATCAGTCCATGGATAATTATTTGCGAGAAATTAAAACATTAGCTGATGATCTTGCCACAATCAATTGCCCTGTGCCTCCTCGTTAAATTTTAAAGACTACTATTATGGGACTGGGACCTGAGTATGAATCTTTATTCACTGCTGTGTCATTATTTGGATAAAATTTCCCGTTTGAGACTCTCCGTAACCATCTTCTTGAGTTAGAGCAGCGGGTCCTTTATCTCCGCTCCCAAGAGTCCTCGTCCTTCCATCAGGCATTTGGCGCGGTTGTCTCTTCTCCCGGACAGTCGTCTGGTCAGTAGAAGAATCAGCCACATTCAGGGTCTACGCACCCGGTCAGGCAGCAGGCATAGACGGTCGGGCAGCAGCGACAGTTTGGCGCTCCACAGCGCGGACGAGGTCGCAGTCGCGGTAGAGGCCGCGGAGGCAGGGGCGCGGTCGTGGACAGCAGCAGCAGGCATATTGGTACTCCTAGAGGCAGTCAGTTCATTACCCCGGAGGGGGTGGTCAGCCGAGTACACCTGCAGGGGGTGTGACATCTACGGGTACTGTTATTTGTAATTCTGCTATGTCACATTTAAATATTAATGCTTTACCTATTTGTGTTACTAACCGTAGTTCTGCAGGCTTGCCATCAGATGGGGGTATTCTAAGGTCTGTTCCCCATCCTGTTGTGTGTCAAATTTGCTTTTCTGCAGGTCATTCAGCTATAAATTGTCCTTCTCGTTTCACACAACCGTTTGTCCCTGCTCTGTTGACTACTCCCGGTGACACATCTCCTGCTCTATGGTTTCCTGATTCAGGAGCCTCTGCCCATATGACTGCATCTGAAGGTATTTTAGTTAATAAATCTCCTTAAATCGGCTATAATTCTGTTAGTGTTGGCAATGGTGCCCATCTTCCCATTTGTCATGTTGGTGATGTTGCATTACCTACGTCTGATCGTCCTCTCACTTTAAAATCCATTATTCTCACAAATAGTGTTGTTTTTGCAGAACGAAGATATTTTGATGATATATGACCATAAGACGAAGGAGCAGATCAGAAGCTTTCAAGAGGTTGAGGTGATGAAGTGTGAAGACAAATATTCCCTTAGGTAACAATTGCCATTTGCCAACACCTACGAGGAAGAGGCCGGGAATTGAACAGGATGAGCAAAAGACCTGAAGATCCTCCGAGCTTTTTTGGGGATAGGACTATCTTTTATGATTATACGGAGTAGCAATTTTACATTAGCATTTTCGCACAGGTAGTAGAAATATGTACATGTCTTGTTCATATGGGGTTGATAAACTTCAAGTGTGTTTCATTTGATCTTCTATGTTTCAAATTAAAGATGAAACATATATTCATTCATATCAATTTATTAGGAGACTACCTAGCCCAAATTCCCGGAAAGAGAATCCTTTTTTCTGTACAAATTTATATGAATATGGAGGATTTGGTCATTTTGATATGTTTCATTTTATTGGTTTGGTAAAGGGACATTGTGAGCAGAGTACTGTTTTAAATGATTGGTCATTAATTATAGGTATTTTGTTCATCAATAACACACATTTTACCAATCAGTGGAGTAAAACATGTGTAAAATGACTAAACTTCCCTACACATCTCATCTGTCGCATTTCTGTTGATTAGTTTTAATTTAATATGTACGCGGAATTTTGAGTTTAAGTTGAAGTTGATTAACACCTTGAATTTTAGTTTCATTTTAATAAACAAGTACGTAGTATTTGTGAATGAGCATCTCTAATGATAAGTTGCATGTTTATCTTCACAGTAGCATTTCCAAAACTTGATTTATTAGCCATGATTTTCGTAAATATATATGTTTGGTAACCATAATTTTTGGCTTATCATATTTTTTTTCACCAATCACGTAAATTTGATTTCGCTTGCTGAAGTGTCTAATGATAAAGAAAAGTAAGGTTGAAATTATTTTTCTGGCTCAAGTTACCATAGAGGATCATTTTAACTATTTGTTCATCTAATTTTTTATTTCATTTCTTAATAAAAAATATTTTAAATATAATATTTTCATAAATAAGCAGAATCAGCTCATTCAGCCCCTTCACCTAGAACTTCATAAATTTCAACAGATTCAGCCAATTTCTATGTTACCAATCGAGCTCTTAATTCATTGTTTTCCTCTTGAGTAGGCCCTACAAATTAATCAACTTTTAGATTATACAGGATGCACTTTTATTGATCATCATTGTTTTTCATATGATAAAAATAATAAACTTATTCTGGAATAATTTTAAAATTTGGAGAATGTCTTGAATATTTTTAAACCAATAATTAAATAATGTTTATATGATTATTGCGGGGATAATATGAAAAAACATATTTAAAATGAGCTACAAATCATCTTCTATATATAAAGTAATTTTTACACATAAATAATTAAATGAAACAAGCACTCACCATTTAGAGTAACTAAACCCTAATAGAAAAATCCACATAATTCGTTAATACATTGCATTATTATTATATTTACAATCATTATTACAAATCACGAAATGGAGGGAGTTATATATAGTCACCTAAAACTATATATCTAGCTTATAACTCCCTCCATTTCATGTAGTTTTAGGAAATCAGTTTTTTTACTCCCTGAAATGTTCTTTTCACATAAGGTTAGCATTACTCTAGAGTACATTATTTAGGCGATTGTTGTCATTGTACCTTTATTATTCAGGAAATTTCCGAAATAAGAGAAAAAATTATACATAGTTCCAAAATATGAGTACTATGTTTTTATTGTATAATCATGAATAATTTATTGTCATCCTAAAATTATATTGTCAAATTTTCTAATTGTATCACGCATTGGGTGGTATTGCTATCATACAGAGTAATTTATACATAGTACTCCCTCTGTCCCAGTTTAGTTAGCCAAACTTGACTTTTCAAGTCAATGACGTCTAACTTTGACCGATTATATGTCTCTATAGAGAAAATATTAATAATATGAAAATGATATGAAAAGCTTCTTTGTTAAAAATACTATCATAAAAGTATAAAATTATTAAATTTTGCATAAATATATTAGTTTAAATAATTGGTCAAAATTTACTACCTTTGACTGGAAAAGTCAAAGATGACTAAGTAAATTGGGACGGAGGTAGTAGCATTTTTAAAATATGTCACTGATTACTTATACTTATGGAATAAAAATAATGTACTCTTGTTTTGAATTTTACATTCTTTTTAATACTATCTAGGTCAAATTCCTTTATTCTTATTAGTTGAGGGTACGCATTGATAAGATTTTGGAAAAAAATAGTTTTAACTTATGATTGTGCATAAAGGAATAGAATATAAACTTGAAATGGAGGGACATGGTACGAAATACTCCGTACTTGATACTATCTCATCCCTGAAAATTCTTTAATTGCACTTACTTTTTTGGGGTCTCTCAAAAAATTCTTCTCATTTCTCTTTTTGGAAATGTTTATGTGTCTACCATTCATTTACATTTTTCTTACTCAACCACAATCATACATTTCCACTTTTTTAATTAAACTCCGATCCAAGTCAAATGGGGAAGAATTTTCCAGGACAGAGGGAGTATATGATTGTAATGCATTTATATGATTCAAGTAAGAATGAGTGGCATGCATACATGCACGCATACATGCATGCATTTTTAGCAACATTTTTGTGTTATTTATCCCTCCATCAAAACAATTTCCCACTTTAACTTTGTAAACTTTAAACAAATGATTTGAATGGGAAAGGATGATTTCCACTCTTTCATTGAATTGCTTATATAGTCATTACAACATGGATATAAAAGGTAAACATGTCAGGACCTAAAATATACCGATTTACATGATCAATTCTAACCATAAATATATGCACAGTATAATAAAAAGATTTATACAATATTCTATCATTAACACCCCCTGCAAGCTTAGCGAGGCGATCTAACAAGAAGACGACGACACAAAGCTTGAAATCGTGTAGTGCCCACTGCCTTTGTGAATATGTCAGCAACCTGATCGATGGACCGAACATGGCGAACTACGAGTGCACCAGACTGAACTTGCTCCCGAACAAAATGAAAATCAATTTTGATATGTTTGGATCTTTGATGAAAGACGGGGTTGGCAGTGAGGAAGGTTGCACTGAGATTATCACAAAGAATAATTGGTGGTGGAGTGAACGGAGTGCCCATTTCCTGGAGCAGTTGACGTATCCATATGAGCTCGGCCGCTGCAAAAGCAATAGCTCGGTATTCGGCTTCGGTACTAGAGCGAGAGACAACTTGTTGTTTGCGTGATGACCAACTGACGAGATTTCCTCCGTAGTACACTGAGAAGCCATGCTGGGAGCGGCAGTCATCTGGGTCAGACGCCCAGCCAGCGTCGGTGAATGTGACAAGGCTGGAATCACGCATTTTCCCAAATGCAAGGCCATTTGATATTGTACCTTTTAAGTACCGTAAGATCCTCTTAACCGCTGACCAATGCGTAAGGGTTGGTTTATGCATAAACTGACATACACGATTAACCGAATAAGAGATCTCTGGGCGTGTAATAGTGACGTACTGCAGGGCACCCACAATGCTGCGATATAAGTGAGGATCCGAAAATGGGTCACCAGTGGCTTGTAACCGTGAAGCAGGCTCTGCTGGAGCAGAGATAGGTTTGGCATCGGCCATATGACACCTGTTTAGTATGTCATGAATATATTTCTTTTAGGATAAGAGAATACCAGACGGAGTGCGGAGAACCTCAATCCCAAGGAAGTAATGAAGAGTGCCCAAGTCCTTTAAGGAGAATGTGGTATTGAAGTGCTGAACAAACTCATCTATGAATTTGACATTGGAACCAGTGATAATTAAGTCGTCAACGTAGACTAGGACATAAACAACATCCTGATCATCCCGTTTGATAAATAAAGAGGAGTCTAAAATACAATTTTTGAAGCCATGGTGATGAAGAGACGATTGGAGCTTGTGAAACCAAGCACGCGGTGCTTGTTTGAGTCCGTAGAGAGCCTTGGAGAGGCGACAAACATGAGTTGGTTTGTCACGTGAAATGAACCCTTGAGGTTGGTCCATATAGACGGTTTCACTGAGGTCACCATTGAGAAAAGCATTGTTCACATCAACTTGTCGAAGATGCCAGTTCTGAGTGACCGCAAGACTGAGAACAACCCGAATGGTGGTGGGTTTGATCACAGGACTGAATGTGTCGAAGAAGTCAATGCCTTCTTCTTGCAGAAATCCTTTTGCAACTAGGTGAGCTTTGTAGCGCTCGATCGTGCCATCAGCTTTCCTTTTAATCCTGTAAATCCACTTACACCCAACAATGTTAGTCCCATAGGGCCTAGGAACAAGTTCCCAGGTTTTATTACGCATAAGAGCATCATATTCAAGCTGCATGGCGTGCTGCCAGTTGGGATCTTTGGAGGCCTGAGAGAAATTTTTGGGTTCAACGGGGGTAATGTGGTCAGTGAGTAGAGGATATTCAGTAGAGGTGAGAGCTTTGGGTTGAAGATTACCTGTTTGGGCACGAGTTACCATTGTATGATGGGAATCAGAAGAGGCTCGGAAGTAGGAGGGAGTACATGAGTAGGTCGGAGCCGGTGGTGGTTCAGTTGAGGAAGTTGGCGGGGAGATGTCAGGGCTGCCATCAGGCAATGTGGTTGAAGACAATGGTGATGAGGCGGCTGAGTTGGGAGGGTCTTGAGGGGAGGAGAGAGGTATAAATGGAGATGGTGTAACTGATGGTACTGGACAAAGAGATGAGGCATGCTGCAAAGGATCAAGGGCAAGAAACACAGAGGGAATGACAGGTGGAGAGGTAGACGAACTGTGGGATAAGTATGGGTAGACAGACTCATCAAAAACAGTGTGTCTGGCAATAAAAGATTTGGAAGAAGATACATGAAAACAAATATAACCTTTGTGTTTGGAACTATACCCCAAAAAGATACATGGCAGTGAACGAAATTCCAATTTGTTGCTAGTGTAAGGTTTGAGGAAGGGGAAGCATAAGCACCCAAAAGATTTTAAAAAACCATAGTCTGGTTTACGAGAGTAAAGACTTTCATATGGGGATTTAAAATCAAGATTAGGTGTAATGGTGCGATTGGTAGCATAGACAGCGGTGTGAAAGGCATGTTCCCAGAATTTTATGGGTAATTTTGAGTGAGCAAGTAAAGAGAGACCCTTTTCAATGACCGTTCGGTTTAGTCGTTCTGCTGAGCTATTTTGTTCTGGGGTGTATGGGCAGGAAACACGATGTATAATGCCATGTTTAGCCAAAAATGGTGAAAGGGGTCGAAATTCGCCACCCCAGTCAGTTTGCATAGCTTTGATTGTGGTGTGGAATTGATTTTCAACCATTTGTTTGAATGATGTAAAGACAGAGAATACTTGGGATTTATTGGTAAGAAAATAAATCCAAGTATACTTGGTACAATCATCAATAAACGAAACAAAATAGTGATTTCCATTAAGAGATAAGAAAGGGACAGGGCCCCAAACATCCGAATGAATCAAAGCAAAAGGGGTTTTAGACGAATCACCCCGTTTAGGTAAATGAAAACGGTCACTTTTTCCTAATTGACAAGAATCACAAACACTGGGTGGGGAGACATTAGTAATGGGTAAAGAAAAGGTAGACACTAGTCGACGTAAAATCTGTTCACTGGGATGCGCCAATCTTCGGTGCCAGCATTCCAAAGAAGTACGTTCACCAAAGAAGACACCGGGAGAGGATAGTTGAGGCAATGATGGCAGTCGGTATAGACCATTCTCAAGCGTCCCTCTTAGCAACGTCTGCCCCTGCAAATTCTTCACAAGACAATAATGAGGGTGAAATTCAAGGTAAACATTATTGTCACGTGAAAGCTTAGAAACAGAAAGTAAATTCTTTTTTATATCAGGGACAAGTAAGATGTTGTGTAAGTGTATAGGAGAGGTTGAAGCACGCAAAACAGAGAGAGTAGAATGCCCTAAATGCGTAATACGGAGGGACTGGCCATTGCCAACCACGAGACCTTCATTACCGTCATAAGGGTGAGACATGGAGAACTTGCCAAGGTCGCCGATGACATGATGTGTAGCACCAGAGTCTATGACCCAAGGATCATAAAGAGTTGAGGGACTAGATGTTGATGCCGAGAATGCAGTAGGAGGTGGCGGTGGAGCAGATTGCTGTTGGTGGCGCTGGTGGCTGCCTCTTTGTTGATTTCGACGAGGAGGTGGACCGGTTGCTGGAAATGTGTTGGTGTTGAGGCGTTGATAGCAATTAATAGCCTCGTGTCCAAGGCGTTTGCATATTTGACACTTAGGGCGAGGTCGATCAGAAGGCTGTGACAGGGAAGCATCCATAGAGTGATGCTTCCGGGGCAGGCGAGAGGTAGAATGAGCCTCTGGTGTGACAATGTCGGTTTCACGAGCTTCCTCCTCTAGGCGTTGTTCTTCTCGAAGCAGAAGATTCAGAAGGGCATCAGAGGTCAAGTCTGCACCATGTAGTGACAGAGCAGAGCGGAAAGAACCATAAGCAGAGCCGAGACCATAGACAAGGTAGTCAACGAAGTCAGAATCAGGGATGACAACAAGACATTCAAGGAGACTATCTGCGATTGCACGTTTCTTCTCGAAGTACTCAAGAATTGAAAGAGAACCTTTTGAGAGAGATTGGAGTTGTTGGCGGAGGTGCATCTGTCGAGACCTAGTTTGGGCGTGAAACATCCGTTCAAGCATCGTCCAGGCTTCATGAGAAGATGTGGCGCGGGCGACCAACCCTAGAAGGGGAGTGGTGAGCATGGAGCGAATCCAGAGAAGAATCAGACGGTCCTTCCTGATCCACGCAGCATAGGCGGGGTTAGCCTTGGTGGTTGCCTGAGTTGTCGATGTTGCTGGTTGATCGATGATGGTGGACGGTGGTGTATTGACCAAATTAAGGCAAGAATCAAGGTCATATGCTTCAAGAGTGGAACGCACCGTGCCTCTCCAGAGAGAATAGTTTGTGCGATCAAGGCGAAGGTTGATGGATGGAAGTTGAAGCAGGGAAGTGGAGGAACCAGTGCTCGCTGCCATGGCCAAAATTTGGGACGAAGGGGAATTGGCAGAAGAGAATTCTGGATCTATAGACATAGGATCGATATATTAGTCTGATACCATGTAAACTTTAAACAAATGATTTGAATGGGAACGAATGATTTCCACTTTTTCATTGAATTGCTTATATAGTCATTACAACATGTCAGGACCTAAAATATACCGATTTACAGTATAAATTCTAACCATAAATATATGCAAAGTATAATAAAAAGATTTATACAATATTCTATCATTAACGGACTTAAATACATTTAGTGAAAAGTTAGAGTGATGGGTCGACTTTCCGATGACGCCCTTATTGCTTTATATCAAATCAAGTAGAAGGTAAGTAAACAGTAAGGTTAATTTTGGTATTTTATATTAAAAAGTTTGGGATATCCGAATAAACAAAGTGAGAAGTTATTTTGTGGATGGATGTAGTAATTATGATGAGGCGTCATTTCCGAGGAACATCTTTCGGGAGAGCTTAACGGAGACGAGAGCGAGAATGGTGGCGGATGGTACGAACAAAACATCGGGGATGGCTTTAATGAGTTTGAGCTGGGGGACGCTTTCTCCCCCCCTCTTGGCCGCCATGGCCACCGGCGGAGTCACCAGTCCGGTGATGAGCGTTGTGTCATCCATCTTGCTAAGGTTCACCCTTGTCTTCATGAAATCTATGAACACTGTCTTCTTGGCTAGCTCATCATCTCTACCTTTCCACTCTTCAAAACATGCTTGGATCTCCTTCACCGTTGGCACATTATAGTGTTTTCCGGGCAATGCGCCATTCACGTTGCTGTATATATACATACATACATTAGGCTGAGTATAATATTATTGGGTGATATGATTTTCAAAAGACTATATGTATGTGTACTGCATGCACTTTGGGAAAATCATATCTAGGGAGTTACATATGACTTCGAGTCATATGGCCTCACTCACAATTCATTTGTATCATTCACTTTAGAAATTAACAACCCCAAAAATAACTTACCGCTTCTTTAATTTAATTGTGTGCCAAATTAAAATAAAATTTCTATTTCCATAAAAAACTTTTCAAACACAAACATCACAACTACTTTTACTTAACTACGAGTACTTTTTACTATACTTGGCATAAAGTAGAGTATAATTAAAACTCCAAAACAAAACTTTATCTTGTAGAAATATGTGCGTAAGTCAAATTACTTTTGGGGACATAAGGGAGGAGCTGATTTAGACGTTCATGCACGATAATATAGCGAAAGCAAAAAAAAATTGTGTGCCAAAAATAGGTAAGATTTGTAGTGAGAATGAAAATAAGTACGGGACAAAAAATGAGGGATTTTTAGTTTATGCATGAGAATCAATATATACTACCTCCGTCCCAATTTGTTTTGCAAATCAACATTTTTTAGTCAATAAATGTTAAAGATAAATTCTTTCTATTGATAAATAATTCAATTTTAATAATTAAAATTTACATATCCAGAAATTAAATTAAAATATCTATAAAATTGCAAAATTCAAACTAAAATCTAATTAAGAATTAATATCCTAATTAAGTTAAGTGATCAAAATTTGTAACTCATTGAAATGGGATGAAGTGGTTGACGTATAGGGAGAGTATACTATAAGTTTATTTCCTATATTTAGAGCAGCTAGCTAGTGCATGACGCCTGGCCGTAATACTACGTAGTTATTATATACTACCTCCGTTCCCATTTTAACTTCCAAATGGGTTTGACACAAAGTTTAAGATAGTGGATATTGTGTGGTGGAGAGTTGTGCAGAGGAGAGAGAAATGTGTAAAAATGTTGTAAACCACAAATTCTTTAACAAAAAGAGAAAGTGGAAGTTTTAATTGGAACGAACGAAAAAGGAAAGTTGGAAGTTTATTTAGGAACGGAGGGAGTACTTACTACGTATTATTGGAAAGAGGGCGGGCGGTGTGAATTGGAGAAGAAAAATAAAGTAAGGATTAATTGAAGCTAAAATTAATTATTACTTGAAAATATCAAGAATTGCGAGGTGGAAATCCTGAAAGCTCTTCACATCTTTGTCGTAAAAGCGTGTGTACAGTGTTCCCAATGCCAAACTCGTCAACTGCGTTGTTTGAAACCCTGCAATGCGATGCAATGGATGACACTCAGCTCTAATAATAACGTACGTACTATTGTAAACCATATATCCCATAAGATTTGACAACTTTAATTTTTTGGTCAATAATTATTGACTAATGAAATTTATTATTTTTGAAAATTATATAAAAATGTTTTCAATTTAATTTACTTGAATAAAAATATAAAAAGAAAATTATAAATTTCAGGTAACAGTGAAAAACATTGTTGAAAGTTTATTCGTAGAACAGAAAGAATGTATTTGCATGGAAAAATCTAAAAAGATGGATGGGAGGTACATAATCATATCAAGCTTCATCATATTATGGGTAACGTATAGTACGTACTTTAATTTGTTTGTGGAGCTAGCTAGCGTTATTAGGATATGCATGTACATACACACACACACACACACACACACACACACACACACACACACACACACACACACACACACACACACACACACATATATATATATATATATATATATATATATATATAGGTTGAAGGGAAGCTAGAAAAGTGAAGGGCTGACGTACCTTTTCCCATGAGGCTCATCACCAAACCCATGTTGATTAAATTAATTAGCCAATAAATATAATGATCAATTGACGGCAATACTATACGTACACTAGTTAATTAATTAATTGTGATGACTGCAATATGAATTATATATATATATGTATCCCACCGGCCGGCCGGCCATATGTAGTATATATATATACACACACACACATAATATTAATATATATCGTCGCAATTCAATCATATCCCAAGCAAGCTAAGGAAGCAAGGAATCTATATATATATATGTTCCTAGCTTCAACATGAGTTCATCCAACAATAAACAACCTACGTACGTATTCCAACCTAATTAGCTACCTAGCTTCAATGTACTATACGTACGTTATGGGCCGGGGAGCTAGCTAGAATAATCTTGTGAGATATATTATTGTTAAATGATACGGATGGAAACATTCATATTAAATCAAAAATACACGTTGATCTGAACCAAATCGGCCGGGTATACAACTTGAGGGGCCGGGCACATGCATTAACAAAACAAAACGTCAAAACATATACTCACTACTACACAAAGGGGCTATTACGTCGGTTATTTTGACCCTTTAACGTCGGTTTTCAAACCCACGTGTAAGTAAGAGACGTAAAAGATATGGACATTTGACGTCGGTTAACAAACCGACGTAATAAGTGTGCTTTAAAAAATGAATATAACCTACCACGTCGGTTACTCTAAAAAACAGACGTCGAATACAACTTCAAATATAAAAAAAATACTTATTACGTCAGTCGTTTCTCGGAACCGACGTTAAACGTATTTTCACAAAAATTTAAAAAATCTTATGACGTCGGTTGTAGACAAAACCGACGTTAAAAGTAAAAAAAATTTAAAAAATAAATAAATCACCAACGGATTGGAACATCGTAAACTTGACAAGGCCAAAGACAAAAATCGTATTAACACACCATTAAAAACACTTGTTAGGAGTCAAAAAATTAAAAACTGGACTTTATTGCATGACATATTACAATTGTTCAGTTGAATAAATCTTCAAATTCTACCAATTATAGATGTAATCAGAATTATGGATGTCACTTTTGTACTTGCCCAAAAGGTAAAAAATACAATTGAATGGTTCTTCTTTAACGCGTGCTTCCTCAAAGATGCTCTTTTTATATGCCTACAAAAATATACTATGGTTAGAGACCTGCAAAAGAAGTAAGAAAGTGTTAGAAAAAATATAAAATAATGCTTGCGCTAAAAACTAACTATTCAATTAAACCTAGCTGCACAACACACTAGCTTCAGCAAAAAATGCATATTACCTAATAGAAAACAAAGAAGAGAACAAACATAAAACAACAAGCTAATTCCATTTTAAAAGAAACATACGACAGCCCACTCTATCTCCATCTCATTTGACTTGGCTTCAGATTAAAACCTTTAAGTAAATTTTCTAGTTTCTACATGCCCAACACATTGCATGAATATAAGCTGAGTTAAGAGTTGGAATTTCTTCCTCACCGAACTTGCTTCTCCAAGTGGCATTACAAACATTCATGGCCAGACGGGCACTAGCCTCCTGCCTTTCTCGTGCTCTGTCATCGCCGTCAATTGTTTCTCACCTTCGCTTGGTCGTCCTTGTTCTTCTTAATCACAATCTTCAGCTTCAGGCACAACAGTTAGGTCAGACCCGCTTCAAGACATCCGGCCCCAGTTATTCTCCCTTGAATGACCCATCACCAAACTGGACCAACCGCCCCACTAAAGAGACGATTCTACTGGACGGATGCGACTACGAACACTGGCTAATCGTTATGGAGTTCCCCGACCCGAAACCGTCAGAGGAAGAGATGGTCAATAGTTATGTTAAAATCATAGCTTCTGTTGTTGGGACTGAAGAGGAGGCCAAGAAAAAGATTTACTCTGTTTGTACAACAACTTACACTAGCTTTGGCGCTTTGATTTCTGAAGAGCTATCATACAAAGTGAAAGGAGACCTATTTGTGGATGGAAAAATCATTCATCAGCCACAGTACATATTCATTGAGAGGCAAAGCAATAACCGGCCTCAACCAAGGTATGATAGGCGTCGAGAAACATTGCAGATCAATAGGAGGGCAGAACCTGTACAAGGAAATAATACGTTCAAAGGCAACACATAGTTACCTTAGTAGCTATGTACAACTAATCTTGAAATTATAAGTTGTTGCCAAACCTGTCATGCATTATCAATACATACATGGCTCATCACTAGAAATGCAGTAATACAAGAGTTAAGGTATCTTACAGTGAAGTCTATCGTTCCAACAAGCCTTAAACCAAAACAGTTAAGGTAAAAGACTCGTTGCTGAATCAAGAACAAATGAGCAATCCCTATTATATAAATTAGCAAACTATTGATCCTATTAATACACAAATTAAGGAAATAGATGAAGCAAGTACTCCCACATGTAATTGCAAGAAATATATGATATAACACTACCCAAATTTAAAGATATTAAAAAAACACACAAACATACACACATATCCCGCCAACAAGTTACTAAACACCATCATTAAGAAAACCAAAGTAGGAGAAGCTAGGAAAGAAAGCTGAATCTGTAGTACATAAATGACTTTACTGTGATTACTCTTCAAATATATAGTTCCCATCATATTAATGGATGACTCGAGACCATCTTCTCGAATGAATACTTCAACTATGAACGTTCTTCTTTTCCATTTACTCATAAACTGCAAAGAAAACAATTGCAAAATTCATTCGACCCTAATAAATAATAAATTGTCCATTCATATTTACATTAGCAGACTAGGTTAAACAAAAATATCACATAATGAAAAAGGAAAAAGGGAAAAATAGATAGAGAGAAATTGGAAAAGGGGGATGAGGAGTGGTCACCTACATGGGATGACACACAACCAATCAATCCAAGACTCCAATATACACGAGAAACAGAGTTACTGTAATTTAAAGACAAATACAGTCAATCAAAGTGGTCGTATTTCAAATCTAATTGAACTAAATTTAACAACTTCCGTTATATTCGGACATTAAAAACACTCTTATATAACTACAGCGAAAATGTTTACAAAAAGATTAGTAAGAACTATAGTGCTTTAAAAGTGACTTGTTACAGACCTGTCAAACATCAAGTTTCCCTGTAGAAACATGACTATTCTATTGTAGACAATTCGCCATTCGAAAACCATTTAAGCCAAATGGCTCGGCTTCACTGTATATCCCTTAAAGTAGTGAGTAGTAGACGAATGTATAGCACGAGATAGAATTGAAAATCAATGCAAAACAATATAATTTAGTGAAACTTAGTCATACCTGAAGTACTTAGGGTATACCTACAAGAGACAACAAATTAGAATTTCACCTGATAATAGAATCAAAATGTTGTAAGCATTGAGCTTGTAGCACCAACCTGATAAAACAAAATTGCACATGGAAAAATAGGTAAAAAGATAAAAACATGATATTAGTTAAATTAAAGAATCAATTTTTTTTGGAAGACTACAAGTATACACATAAATAAAAACTAAAAACAAGCAAAAACTGATTTTATGTTAGGGATATACTTTCCCAAAAATGCTGCAATTATATTATTGAAGAAAAGAACTCAGGAAAAATGACAATCTCAGTCAAACATGATATTATAAACTTGATTGTCAAGAACTATAACATAAATTAAACGTACTCCTCTAATATAATACAGGTTATACTTGATTGTTAAGGACTATAGCCTACATGTTCTCCAAGTTTCTAAATGGCACCAACGTTATGATGCTGAATGACAAGCTTCCCATTTTTATCACTCTCTTACATTTTATTCCCATAAATTATCATCTGCGAGCAATTGATCATCTCTAGCCCTAGCACATGGATATGCGCTCACCGAGAAATTGTAATACAATAGAAATCAATATATACGTTAAATCATTCGAGTATAAAAATGGATGTCAATTGCATATACCTCCAGTATACCTCCAATAAAAAATGGATTCACAAGTTTTCAAGTTGGAGGTTTAAAACAAACTGGCGGTTGACCTTATTTCGACATTCCTCTCAGTTCTTTTCAGGGGATTTAAAGCTTAAAAACAAACTGTTAAACAATACCTATAAGCTGGGCAAACATAATGAAATGATGGATGCTTATAGAGAAATGCTGACTTACAGTGAGAGGTGCCATTTAAATCAAAGAGAAGAACAAGCAAAAGCAGCAACATAAACAAAAATACCGTGTAGTTAAATTAAACAGAAACCATATAAATCAAAGAGAAGAACAAGCAAAAGCAGCAACAAAAACAAAAACACTGCGTAGTTAAATTAAACAGGAACCATATAAATCAAAGAGAAGAACAAGCAAAAGCAACAACATAAACAAAAACACTGCGTAGTTAAAACTTACAGTGAGAACTGAGAAGTGCATTAACAATATAATGGATTTTGTCTCTGGATCAGCGAGTCAGAATTCAACTTACTTCAAACTGACAATGTGAGATTCTATAAGATCCAACTCAGCAACACTTTTAGAATAGACATCTCAGTTGGAGACTGTTTTTCTAATTCCCCTCAATTTTTATCTACATGGCTTTGCACTCTTAAAAGCATATGTAGTCTTAGTATTTCTTGGTTTAAAATATACTCATGAACATTCCACTTAATTAGTCCATTGCTAATTAAATTAATATATACTCAGTTTATGATGCGTTAAAATCACAATACTATTCTCAGTTTTGCCTTTAGTTACTGTATTGTGATTAAGAACACGAATCAGAAAGAGCTTCAAGGGTAAATGGTAGCTGTAGTATGAAGTTAATAGTTTATTCTCATGTACAAGATTCAAATGCTTCTTAAACCTCTTAAGTGTTGTACCCCCAGTCCACCATTCATAAATATCAATCGAAATATCACAAAAGGAGCATAGCAGGTTAAAAAGAGGGTCTCAAACAGTCCTACTATCCCACTCAAGATTAAGCTACTTAATTGTTTTAATCAAAATATCACAAAAAAAAACAGAGTAACTTGCACATGGAGACTGAAGAGGTTGAGATGGTGGAAGCCAATCAGAACCTAAGCTATCTGAGTGAAGTCACCACCAATGACTACCCGACAACCCCCAATGTTTTAGTCTACAGAGTCAAACG